GTCTTTATTACGTATACAGTATTTGGATCATCATCAATAGATTAGAGAGAGAAAGAAAGTACAAATCAGGTAACAATAAAAAATGAAATTTTGCAATCGATCACTGAATATCGATTAATTTTCTAAGTTAATCTAATAATCCATATTTCCTAACATTTGAAGCGAAAACGAACAATCAATTCTGTCTTTATAAGCCGGATATTGCAGACGCCCCCGACAGTTGGTCTTTATATAATAATTTATGAATATTTGAAAATTCCGTTAAGTGAATACTAGTTTTACTTGCATCAAATAATTATTCGTCACATATTGTTTATGTTGTCTTTGTCTCGAAAGCGATTTAGAGCAAGCGTGGTATTCAAATATTTCAGAATTATAGATTTGTACTCAACTTCAATGCAAGGCTCAAGATCCACTCAAGGGCGAAGGTTACTGAATGCTGTTGTTATATGTAGATAACGGTTGATCCTAAACTTGGAGAGGTTAAGATTTTAGTGATCTGGGAAGTATCCACCCGGGAGCCTGTTCTACAAAATAGCAGTTCTTGGAATAGAACTTCCTCCTTACTAATGGAATATGATGAGAATAAATATAATTCAACCATATATACGTGGCATAGGGGGTTTAGAATGTAAATGTCTGAACTGACGGAACTACTAAATGGAGCTCGTCAGAACATTTGCCATGGAAATAGCGATGAAGTAGCAAGAGATTTTATTTATTTATTGATTTATTCGCTTTATGGTTTATCAACACATCGCACGTTATTTTAAGTTTAGATTGTAAAAATTTATATCTTTGGGAGATAATAATAGTTTATTTATATACAAGTCTTGCTAATTAACCCCTAGCTGGAGTAGAAAAGGTGGATTCATCCCTTTCCCAATGGTATGTACATGTTAGTGAATACAATGATTCCAAGGGGTATTGGGACTCGCCTTTCCGATTAAAAATCCCGACCAAAAATCTATTGAATCAACCGCGCACCAAAGCTTAAAGCAATTCCCAAACGGTCACCCATCTAATTATTGACCAGGTTCGACGGTTCTTAACTTCGATGATCATATAGGAACCTGCATTTCAATGTGCTGTGACTGTAAGCTTAGCTATAGTTATACGATGCTTCGTCAGAAGGAAAGATCTTGCAGGGTAGAAGGTAATTTATCGCATACGTAGACGCTTTCGAACTCTGATATTACTCCGTGTTTTATTCTTTTAAAGATAGGACATTCCAGGAGGATTCAGGTACTTTCTGGAACGGTACAAGGAGCTGACCATTTTTCCAGTATCATTAGCGATGGATTGTATATATGGCGAAATCTAGCGTAAAACCGAGTCCCAGTAGACATTCTAAGCAAAGAGCCTCGTTTTGAAATGTCTGGATGTTTTCCGGATAGATCGCGTAAGCTCGGATAGATGATCAGCTGTTTGTTCGCCTACAATCATACGAAGCTATCTGCTGAGAAATCATCTCATCATCAATCTCAGTTCGAACTTGTGGGAGTTATACGGAGAACTAAAATTATTTATAGCAGTAATGAAAGCTTAAAAGCCAAAGATTTGCAAAAAGAAAGAAAAAAAAAGAGAAGAAAAGAAATAAAGCACGACAAAAAGGTTAAAATAGTTTTTTTCCCCCTATTTCCTAGAAAAATATTAATCTTTCAAAACGCTTTCTAATACAATGCTTCAGTTCACCGTACTGATGACATTTTACATCTACGCCCGGCACGAACGACGTTGTGTGATTTTTCTGTCGAAGCGGACATTTGTGGTGAGCAATTGACCGGCATAAAATTGCTCTCTTGGGAACGCGGAAGTTACGCGAGATGAAAATGAACAAAAGGATGCCGGGAATGGTGGCCGATCATTTTTCGAACAGCCTGTGACCTTGTATTAAAACAATCTCTGTTCTGGCAAACGGTGGAAATACGAAAAATTATAAAAAAAAAGAAAAGAAAAAATGAAAGAGAAAGAAAAGAAAGGATTAATGAATGAAAGAGAGCAGAAAGTATAATAACTATGAATGAAAGAAAGAAAAATATGAATAATGGAGGAAAGGAAGGAAATGATATGAATAACGAATATGAAGAAGAAATATAATATGATTAGCAAATAAACGAAAAAGAAAGTATGTAACGAACGAAAGAAAATTATGTATAACGAATGAATGAAAGAAAATTATGAATAAAGAATGAATGAAAAAAGTATCTGGATATCCAAGAAAAAATAAGCTTAAAGAAAGGATGAAAGAAAAAATAAAAAGAGTAAAAAAAAAAAAATGGCCGAAGAAAAAATAATCTGAATAGTGAATGAAAGAAGAAAATATACATGAATAAGCTATGATAGAAAAACTATAGCGAATGAAAGAATGAATAATGAATGAAAGCAAAATATGAATCGCAAATGAATGAAAGAAAAAGAAGACAATTAAAGAATGAAAAAACAAAAATAATATAATTTGTGAATAATAGAAAGATTGTTTTTTTTTACGTTTTATTAACCCATTGTGGGTTATTTGAAGCCGAAATTTTGAATTCCAAGCATAATTCTTTTTTTTGCGAGTAGTCATTACATTAAACATTATTTTAGAAAAACAATCATTCTTCCAGATACAATTCCTACTATTTAACTCATAGCTGGGGGAGACGGATTCCAACCATTTCCAAGGGTATTTTTGCGTAAGTTACTGTAACCAACCCGAATGGAAATGAAGGAAAGATAAAAAATAAATAATCAACGAATGAAATTAAAAAAATAAAATATAGATAGTTAAACCGGGTACATCAAACACGTTACAAAATAATCGACGAGACGAAAGAAATCAAAACATCACAGAAATGGTTAACAAGCTAATCTCGGAGACTATTTGTTAATGGAAACCTAGTGTTTCATGAATGCTGTCATGATTAACCAAAGCTCAAAGTTTTCTTGACGTTGACTGTTATATCAGTGAATCCTGTACGCCGATGGCGAAGTCATTACAACTTGAAAGCCACTGACACAATCTATTTTATCAGTGGCCTCATGCTATATCCATGTCGTCAGGTATTGGGTTTCTAGTGTTGTTATTTTTGTTGCTACAAGCTAATTCCTTGTATGCATCTATGTTCTATCTCAGATGGTTTGGATAGGTTCCACCTTTTTGATTTGATCGTAGTACTCTACGAGAAAATGTGACATAGAAATTCGAAGGCGCATTAGAATAACGAAACTGACTTCTATCAAAGTATTGGGCACCTACGTAGGAAAAGATGTGGTTTTATCTCGCTCACATACGTTTCTGCTTAATAGACAACGGGTGGTCCTTTTTTCAGGTTTACTTTTCTAAGCAGTATCCACTTTAGCCGAAAGGGAATGGGAAATAAAGGAATGAAGTTTTTGGAGATCAAGTGGCAAAAAAACGGAAATAGAGCATATCCGGAAATAGAGCATATAAATAGACCATATAGTTGGTCTCTATTAAGTCATGCTTAGGATCGGGGAGAGTTCTCGTCTGTCCTTCAAACAAACTTTTCCGTCACGTGGTTCCTGTGTCGTTCATTCATATTGCTAGTCTGACGCTGAGATGTACAGATGAAAGAGGATTTTCTAGGGAGAAGATCTGACATAGCAATAGTTGCCATAAGTATCATCTACCTAGCCACCCAGTCGATGTCCTAAAATAAGGCATCTACATATAATATGGGAGACAGGGTTCGCGTTCTTATTTCGAATCATGGCGTTTTTTACTTCCATCTTGTTACCTTTTGTGCGTGCAGCACGCTCTTTTCCCAGCTTTTGGTGCACATTGACGAGATCGTGAATCGATATGCAGCGTGCGGTAATCATTGACCGGTCGGTGGAAATTTTCGACAATGGTCGCGGTGTACGTTCTATTGTATGCAACTTGTTATATATGTCCCCGAAGTTATGTATTTTATTATGTTAGCCCACAAAGCCAGGAGAAGATGCTGATGGTACAACAGTAGAGGTCGGAAATTCCCGCCAATAACCTATAATTTGTTTTGCCTTGTTGCAGATAGCCGCTGAGTGTCAATCTGGCAAAATAATATCTGACATGGATCAGAGCTGTATCACTGAATTCATCTACGCGGGAAAAAATTGCTTCCATTGAAATTCAATAACGCTTTCTGAATATATACAGAGACAAAACAGTGGATGTGAGCACAGTACTTTTATGTACCGTGTCCCTTCAGGATGTAGGCGATCATGGCCCTTCAACTCCTCCTGTCCCTTGTAGCGCTTAATAAGTTTTGTCTTTTTGTTATTCCTCCCAAACCCTTTTCTGCCATCCACTTGCTTTCCCCTGTTGCCCTCTCTTTCTATCCGTCCTGTGAGTATCAGATTTTCCAAGCCCTCCTTCCTCATTACGTGTCCCTGAAATTTCAACTGCTTCTTGCTGATGTCAATTATGTTTTCTCTTTGTTTCCATTCATTCCAAAACCTCGTCGGTGCTCACATGTTCGGGCCATGGTATCCTTAGCATCCTTCTGTAGGACCACATTTCTGTTGTTTCGAGTCTCTTGTTCCTCTTTGAGGAGATTGTCCAGCATTCGCTGCCCTACAGGAGGACAGATATCAGTACTCTTTTCTTTGTTTCCTGTCTCTTAGTACTTTGTTTAGCTTTTGGAATATATATATATATATATATATATATATATATATATATATATATATATATATATATATATATATAAAGAGAGATTGGTTGAATGACTAGATATTGATTTGCAGAAAAAGAAGGCTGTTAACGAAAAAATCAAGGCACTAAAATCAAATTTCTACTAATTAATCATTCCATACAAATCTATTCAACATACTGTTAGCATATCACCGAACAATATATATATATATATATATATATATATATATATATATATATATATATTAATCAGCATTTCTCTGTTCCCATCCTTTGCTGTAAGAGGAACGCTTCCATTATTGATATTAATCTGCCCTTTGCCGCGCTCTCTGTCTCTGTCCAGTCAACAATTGCGATCATGGCGTCCGTCTATCGATGTCCGGCGGGAGGCGATGTTTGTCCTCTAATCAAAACTGTTCACTCTTCTCTTCCAGGCATGGACGTGCCGGGGAGGGAGTTACGGTGGACTGCTTTTTCCGTCACCGGCCTCTTTCCCCTGGGATGATCTCCATTACTCTTCCCACTCAGACATTTGCTTAATTTTACAGCAAAACAGATCTCTATCAACCGTCGAAGATATTCTCGAGTCAAAACAAACATGGCGTTGGTAGTTCTGTTGTGTGTTCTGGAGTCAAATATTACAGCTGTAGTGAAATGAATACTCAATCCACGTCACGAAGCATTAAAAAAAAAATTTGGAAACCATATAAAGAAGTGGAGAAAGAAGAAGGAACGAGAAAGAAAAAAAGGCAATTTAAAAAATCAAAAAGAAGAAGAGAAACGAATAAATGGAAGGAAAATCACTCTCCAGCCTTGATAGAGTTCAAAAGCGTCTCCGAGTCGTTGTGGGTGACGAATTATCCTCCACCCTTCAACCTCTCTCCCACAGGTGAGATGTTGCAAGCCTCTCGCTTCTCTATCGCTACTTCCACGGAAAGTGCTCGGACGAACTACAATCTCTGGTCCTGCCAGTTTTAACTTTCCGGCAAGAACACGCCACTTACATAGTAGCAAATCCCCCCATATTCCATCCGTATTTTTTTGTGATTTCAACGAACACTCGGTTGACACCTTCGTAATGTCAACGAATATTCGTTGTCACTTTCGTAATTCTCGTTGTAGTAGAGAATTTGTAATCGCAGATACAAATATAGTAACGCCGTTGAACAATACTGGTGTCAGACGCCTTCGAATAACACTAGAACTAATAATAGTTGCTCGATAATATTCGCTCGAATAGTAACCACCGTATAGTGAAATAGTATAGAGTAGAGAATAGCGGTCCGTATAGTAATAGAGGATAGACTAGAAATGAAGATCCGAATAGTAATAGCGGATAGAATAGAAGCACCAATCATTTAGACGTCTCGTGACTTCCTATATATGCGTTTCCTCTGTGGTCACGTGGTCTACTTAATTCAATAATGGGATCATCTGTGTTTGCTCACTGGCGATCTATGTTCATACTCAAGTGTCGGCAGCGACACTTTATTCCTATGTATTCCATCGGTGAGAAGTGAGTTTCACTCGAGCAGCTTCTTTCCCCGAACTACTGCCCTGTGGGACCGCCTTCCAAGAGGATGCGTCCTCGATCAATATAATCTTAGCCTGCTCAAGGCTAGGGTTAATAGTTATCTTGAACTCCTATCAGCACAAATAGCCTTCTAACATAACCCTCTACTTCGAGTGGCCTCCGAGCCTTGTAAAGGGTGAACCTTAATGAAAATAAAAGAAAACTAATACTGAAGAAATGACGAGGGGAGAAAGCCGCCCTCGTTGCTCAAAGAGGATTGAGACGGGCGAGATCTGGCAAGAGAAAGAAAGATAACAAAAGAAATAAAATAAAACGAAAAATATCAGTTTGAATAAAAAAAAACATATGTATAGACAACAAAAAGAATACCAATGAAAGAATAATCAAAACTACTACAGAATTAAGAATATTGTAATAATAGTAATCGGAATATTAACCCTTTTTCCAGGTTATTTAATTCTAAAATCTCTCATTTTATAAACAATATTTTGACATAATTTTGATTTGCACGAGAGTCAAAAAAAAAAAAGTAGACAAAGATCGGGTTAAAGGTCCTCTCCTTGTAGGAGCTTTACCCCTCAGCACGAGAATGAAGTCGTATTTCATTCTACAATGTTGTTTATAAGTACAATACGTTCAGAAAGAGAGATGTTTACTTTTTACACAAATTAATAAAGTCAAATTAGCTTATAGGAAACATTCGGAATTCATTGACCGAGCAGCCAGTGCGACTTTAGGTTGAAATTTATAAAATCTTTCTAATAAAATAATTTTTTAGGAAATCTCAAGTCCAGTAACTGTTATCGCTCTTTCAAGCACTGAGGTGGAATTCTTTCCTGTCCTATTGTTTGAAGTCGTATGGAATTTCAACATCTTGATTATGTCATTATTTTCTCTTTGAGTTACATGTGCTATTTGTTTTAGTTGTTGCTGTTGTTATTCTAATTCTACAAGTGATGTGATTTCTGTTATTTGGTGCAGTTCTTTGTGGTTCTGTACTGTCAGTCCACGAAGTTCTAAGAAGAATGGTCATTGCTGAACACCTACAGACTTCATTCGCTCGAAACTGTTTTTAACCATTGATCTGAGAAAGTGTTTCTATTACAGCTGACAATTTAGATATTTTTGAACAGCTTTGACGTTATGCACGTCATCCATATAAAAGTCTCGATTTGTCGAGGTTATTTAAGTACTTAACTCGAGATTTCAGTTTATGTTTTAGTTAATAGCAATTTACGTTGTTGGGCCAATGTTGTTTGGCTGTTTGTTTTCTTTTACGACATATCAACACCTCAATGGGTTATCTAAGATATGTTTTTTTTTTTTTTTCAAAAGTGTATTGCTGCTAATATTTTTTTTCCAAAAATATATTGCTGGTAATAATTTTTTTCTTCAAAAATGTACTGCTGGTATTAAATCTATTTTTACACTTTCATTGTGTTTTGACCCCAGTTTAGGGGTCAACTATTTGCCCTTAGGTGGGACCCTAACAGGTGCTACCACCTCAAGTGAGAGTGAACCTGGGAACACCAGCAATTAAGAAGTGGTTCTACGCTCCTTAAAATCTCCTGTTCAGAGGCCATGCTGTTTGATGTAGTTTATCATCTTACCCACGACGCTGATGCAGTTTATCGTCTTACCCAGGACACGGGTGTAGTTTATCGTCTTACCCAGGACGCGGATGTAGTTTATCGTCATACCCAGGACGCGGACGTAGTTTATCGTCTTAACCAGGACGCGGATTTAGTTTATTGTCTTATCCAGGACACGGATGCTGTTTATCGTCTTACCCAGCACGCGGATGTAGTTTGTCGTCTTACCCATGACACGGATGTAGTTTATCGTCTTATCCAGGACGTGGATGTAGTTTATTGTCTTACCCTGGACACGGATGTAATTTAACGTCTTACCCAGGACATGGATGTAGTTTATCGTCTTACTAAAGTTGGTATAACTGATTCATACTTCTTTCTTTACGCTTCTTTATTCCATGAGGAACATAGGATCGCAACAACACGTCTCCTGTGGTCGCAGTTTCGGGCGATCCTCTTCAGCTCGGCCCATGTTGTGCCGGCTGCCTTCACCTCTGTGTCAGTACTTCTGCGCCAAGTCTGTTTTGGTCGACCCACTTTTCGCTTCCCTTATGGCTTCCAGTCAAGGGCCTGTCTGGCGACACTATAAGCAGGCCTGCGGAGTGTGTGACCGATCCATCCCCATTTCTGTTTCTTGATGTCAATCTCGATTGGGGCTTGACTGGTCCTGTCCCACAGTTGGTCGTTGGAGACGACTTTCAGCCACTTGATATTGAGGATGTTCCTGAGACATTGGTTGGTAAATGTATAAAGTTTGAGGGTGTTGGTCTTGGTTACCCCGTCAGGTTTCCTCAGACGTAGCTGATCCATACACTAAGGTATTTTTTAATCACTTCACCCAAAGTAAGGCAATAAAGCCACTAGGACGCAAGGGGGTTACTGAATGTTAGAGAATATGAGAAAAGCTGCTATTAAGAAGAGAGGGCACAAAATAACAAGAATTAAGAAGACAGAAGATAACGAAGCCGGAAGAGTTGAAGTACATTATTTACATTATTCGGTCTATTGTCCTCATCTTTGTCGCCATAATTATCACAACGTTTCGGCCGTTGTACACTCCGGCCTTCTTAAGGTGGTTGGAATGTCGAACTGAACCCTTTATTTCGCTCACTGGGGTAGACTGTTCTAGTTCCACGTGCCATGTTTAATAGATGTCAGTTATCAGTTATCTCCTGCTAACTTCCCTCTGAAAATTCTCCACTGCCCTAACCAGGTATAGAGTTCACACTCTTTGGATCCTGTCACTGGATCTAAGCAGCCCAGCAATAAATATGGCAACAAAGATGAGGACAATAGTCCAAAAAATTTAAATAGTGTACATAATACCTCATCTCAGAAATATAGACAGATACTGAAAGGCGGAAACGTTGCAATAAATATGGCGACAAAGATGAGGACAATAGTCCGAATAATATAAATAATGTACATAATACCTCATCTCAGAAATATAGACAGATACTGAAAAGCCGAAACGTTGTAATAAATATGGCAACAATGATGAGGACAATAGTCCGAATAATGTAAATAATGTACATAATACCTCATCTCAGGAATATAGACAGATACTGAAGAGTTGAAGTTTTTAGTATTTACTAATTCCACATCCGTAATTATTATAATGGCTTCAGTGTATGTGCTATCGCTGCTTTCGTTACAATTACAGATTGTGGGGGTGCTCTTGACTACAGTCCGACAACGCCCTATACTATCGAATACCCAGTGATCGACTCTATACCCATAATCTCATCAATGCTACCTATAACAAAACCCTAAACTTATCATTTATAAAATATATCGGGATGCTATTTAGAAGAATTACCGGAATGTAAGACATTATTAAAAGAGTTGTCGGGCGGCAAATAGAAGAATTGTCGATATTTTCCGCTTAAAATCATTAAACCAGCAGTCAGGTGGTAGCTAACATACTTCAAAATTGTAAAGTAAGAAGGTTTTAAGAGGCGGTAATTATTGGCATTTCAGACTCAACAAGTTAAGCGATAATTATCACAATTAATACAAATTATTAACGGAATTATCAAAATTGTACTCAAAATATTAAATAGTCAATCGGGCGGTTATTAGCAGAATATCCGAATTTTTAGAGTGCGACAGTAACTAGTGAAATTATCAAAATTTTAGATTGAGAATGATTAAAATGCTTTTGGAAAGTAATTAGTAAAGTTCCAGTAAATAATTTTAGTTACTGAATTTAAACAAAAGTTATCAAACAATGTCCGATGAAAATTTAGTAATCGTTGAAATACACATATTTAAAAAGTTTGTCGGTCTGTAAAATTTTTTATATTCAAAATTCTAAATTCAAATCCTTAGGGCTTTTACGGGCGGTAATTTAATTAAAAATTTAAAATCAAGATCTGCCAGTCAATCACAATTAAAATCTTGAAATATTTATATTCAGAAAGTTTTTAAAAGTATTTGGGTAATGTTAGGCGGCTAATTAGGGAAAAAATTGGGATTTTAGAATCAAAATGTCTTTTGGGCAGTAAAATTTGCCGAAATTTTATATTCAAAATATTAAATTAAAATCCGTCAGTAGTATCTGTCATTAATGAAATATTCAGATCATTTGATGACGAGGAATTATTCTATATAACCTTCTGGCGATAAGGAAGGTCCTAAGTAACAAAAAGACACCAAGAAATTTCTATCGTGTATGCCAGTTAGCCAAGTTTTTGTTAAAATACTATGATATTCTCAAAATGTTGGAAATATTTCGATTTTAAATTAATCGATACAGCTTAATTTCCTATCGATCAATGCGCGGGAGGAATTTGTTTATTTTATTAGTATTGCCGTACACGGATAACGAGTTAATATTCTAACAACATCCAATACATTTTGTGTTTGTTCAACATCCACAGAACTAAACTGTTGTTTATACTGTCACTATGTTGAGTCGACCTTAGTTCTTGGATCAGTCATTGAACAATACGATTAAACCCTCAGTCACAATGACTTGCGACTTCGTGCTAACAAAACTATCGACGACTTCCGAACAGTTTCCTCGACACAGTTTAACTCACAGGGTTCAGGTCAACCTGCGGGATATGCTTTACCGGGCAATTTTACCAACAGTGCCCCACAATAGACTCAAGCCGGTATTTTCAAGGTCACCGTTTTAACAAATCGACAAAGGTGAGATTCTCGTGGACAGAAAGCTAACGTTCTATTACGTTGGCCAGAAAGTCCTGACTCACTTAGGAAGCGGAAAGAAAACAACAAAATTTTATGGAGCAAAACTAACATTTATTCTTCAAAAATAAAGTCCATCATTCTCGATGATCTTCAGCCAGCGATCAGCCAGCCTCCGAATCTGTACCAGATACCCAGTCCGCTGGCTTTGAATAATAATAAAAAAATCTATAAACAAGTTTCCTTCATCAAAAGTGTTGAATCTCTGGTCGCGGAGCATATGTGCCATTGAGTGGAATAGGCCATAGTCACTCGGAGCAGCATCGGGTCTGAATGGTGGATGTGGAAGAATCTCAACACCGTCCATCTGTTTAAACTTCTCACTAGTCAACCTGGCAGTGTGTATGACATCGCATTGTCTTGCTGAAACAAAGCCTGGCCTCTATTGACCAAAACAGGATACACCTTCTTCAGTTTGTCGTAAAAAATGTTTAATCGTTGGTTGCGGAGCAAGTGTGCCATTGAGCGGAATGAGCCATAGTCACTCGGAGCAGCATCGGGTCTGAATGGTGGATGTGGAAGAATCTCAACACCGTTCATCTGTTTGAACTTCTCCCTAGTCAACATGGCAGTGTGCAATCTCGCATCATCTTGCTGAAATAAAGCCCGACCTCGATTGACCAAAACAGGATACTCCTTTAGTTTCTCGTATATGTGGTCGAGCTGCTGGCAATACAGTTTAATGTTGATGGCACGACCGCGTGGAACAAATTGAAAATGCAGAACTCCTTGGAAATTCCACCAGACAGAGATCAAGATTTTTTGTTTTCTTTCCGCTTCCTAAGTTAGTCAGGACTTTCTGGCCAACCTAATAATGACGCCCCCATAAACCATAAATAAAATATACAATACTAGCTGGCGATACTAAAGAGAAATTTGGTTGTTGATCTCTTCTGAAAGAAAAGTTCCTTAACTAACAGGTTTATGCGAAATTGAACCATATTGGGAGCCGTCGGTAGTTGTGATAGCACGAAGTCACAAGTCATCGTGACCGAGGATTTGACTGTTGATATATGCTAGATAACTCCTCCAGAAACTGTAAATTAGGGCTCTGTGGTTGTTGAACAAACACAAATGTACCTGAGAAGGCGTCTTCAACGGGGATTTATGAACGGGCATCCTCGGTTACGAGTGACTGCGGATTTTTTTAGATTTATATAGGTAACCGCTCAGTAAGCGGCTTATCGATATGTGAAGATACAATAAAATCTCGAAGATAAATATACGAAGTAAATGTCGATAAAAAGGAAGTAATAATATTAGAATTAAGATCAATGATTCATATTTTATAGAGGCGAAAACAATATACAAGATTTCATGATAACTGCAAGAAAGTGGTTGTTCTTTTAGAGCTGTGATTCTCAGTCGCCGTATGCAGCACGATCCTCTTAAGTACTACGCAAAATGTTGTCACGGTGTACATATATATGTGTGGAAGTAGTGATGGTACAACGTTAGTATTTTAGTAAATAAGCTGCACAAATATAGATTAAATCCGACATATTGTTATTTCTAATTTATTTTGTCGTATATACCGTACCAATGAATTCTAATGGATATTTCCTAATCCACATAAATACGTTGGTCACTATTTTAAGTCGGGGTAATACGCTAAGTATACCATCACTAACAGTGGTTTACCTACTTCACGCCGCTGGCGAGTATTGTATTTTATTGATGTTACAAAGATTACCATTTCATTTCCAACTTCCATTTTGGTTATTCCTCATTCAATAACCCTTTCTAGGTTATAACATTTTATTTAAACGTTAGTTTTGGTGGATACTCATATTCGAGTAGAAGCCCTGTTTATAATTAAACATTATTATTTAAATAAACAGTATTTTTTTATCCAACTACATCTGAATATTGGTGTAATCTTGTCAGAAAAATATGTGGCCGAACGGCAATGTCCAATGACGTTTTCCGATAAGAAATGTAGGTTCGAATCCTACCGAAGCACGACATAATTGCAGAAATTATAACGATAAAAAACAAAGGAAAACTAAAGGCAACGCTCACATTCTTCAGAGACAGTCATTCACCTCCTGTAGTTCACTGTAACTAACAAGCTGGAATGTTTTCTTCTGATAAAACTAGTCGAGAAACCTAATTTAAAAAATAAAACCAAGATAATAATATACAAAGCAGTGTGTATGAAATTTTAATTTTTAGCTTTTCTTTTATTGTTCATTATATATATATATATATATATATATATATATATATATATATATATGTGTGTGTGTGTGTGTGTGTGTATTGCTAAATATATATCTATTATTCAATATATATATATTTATATATTGTTCAATATATATATATTTATATATTGTTCAATATATATATATTTATTATTCAGTATATATATATATATATATATATATATATATATATATATATATATATATATATATCATCTTCTGTAGTTCACTGCTACTAACAAATTTAATTTTTAACATTTTTTTTATTGTTTGTTTTGTTGACCCACACCGAATCTAGTCCGTTTCTTTCTTTTTTTTTTTTAGATTATTTCTTTTCGTTTAAACGAAACGAGTGACGCAGATATTTTCAAAATGTTCAATACCCTATTGCATTTTCAATGGAAAACAAAAGACTCATACAAGAGCTGTCCTTCCTGAAAAACACAACGAATCAAGATAAAATATTTTACCCACTAACTCTATCACAACTTAAACCAAAAAGAATGTATCTAAACTCAACAGACAAATTGTCACAACTACATCTAAAACAATCAATGACTTAATCAAAAAAAAAAAAAAAATCAACCAGCCAAAACTTGAAGGAGGAATTTATTCTATCAAATGCAGGAATTGCCAGAATGAATACATTGGAGAAACCTCAGACGTTTCCATGTAGGATACAGGTTGAATTCTTGTCAGAGGACACACATGAAGTAAAAGTTTGTGACTTATCTGATTGAAGTTACCTTCAGCATCCCGACTCCAGAGTTTCGTAGGCGGACCCGCTCGTCAACTCTGCAGGGGGTACGAGAAATTTACTGCATATATTTTTTAAAGTTTTTTTATGCACTTATCATTCATTTTTTTTTTTTTTTGCTGTATTGTTTTTGTCCATGTGTGCATTTGCGCGCGTGCAGGCATGCACCCGTCTGTGCGGATGTACGTTCGTGCGCATGCGCCATTATATGTATGTGTGGTGTGAGGGTGTCTGTAAGTGTGTGCACGTGCGCGTGAGCGTGTGCGTGTGCGCGCGCTTGTGTATATGTGTAAAATACGCCTCAAATAAAATCATTACTGAACTGACAAAAATGAGTTTTAAATCATCGCCATTAAATTCTCAAAAGCAAGATCTTTTTATTTTAGTCCTTTCATTTTTTTTTTTCTCTCAATCGTTTTTGTGGGAATCAAAATGGCGGGGGCTCGATTAGCATGAGAAAGCGCTCCAGTATTCAATCGTCTGTATATATATATATATATATATATATATATATATATATATATATATATATAATATATATATATACAGGAAGCTTAAACAGGGGGAGCCAGCTTGCTGGCCTCCCGTTAGCGTGGCTGGCTCGCTGCCGACCTAACACCATCATTTGTACTTCCTGCTTCTACGACCTCTCCTAGACAGTAAGAGCTACGTTCTGGAAACGGTTCGTTCTTATTGATCGATACTGGGGCCTTACCATTCTTACATTCGTCTTGTTGCCAGCTATGAAGTCACAACATCCGATAGCAGCCACTTCCGTTTTTGGCGGGAGTCAGTATCATTTTGACATTTGTTTCTCTCGATGTTGCTTTTTTCATTTATTCGCTATTTCATTGTAAATTTACTTGATATATCTTCTGTTTTATCTAGTCTTTCTTTTTCTTTCTTTCTTTCTTTCGTTTTTTCTTTCTTTCTTTCTTTCTCTCTTCTTTCATTCCTTCATTGTTCCTTTTATTTTTCATTATTTCTTTCTAGCTATCTATCGCTTTTTTCTTTTTCATTTTCTTTTTCTCTTCTTCTATCTATCTATCTATCTATCTATCTATCTATCTATCTATCTATCTATCTAATTCTTCCTTTATATTATCCTTTAATTTTTCATTCTCCACATCCACTCACAATTTCTTCTTCTTTTTATTCTTCTTTAAAAAATATTCTTTCTCGTTTTCCCTTATGTTCATATCTATGTTCATATCTATCTATCCAATTTCAGTGGAGTTCGTTATATTCACTTACGCGTAAATACCCTAGGGATTGTATCACTCCAACTATTCTCCCCATCTATGGGTTAATTAGTATGACTTATATCAATAATCGCCAAAACATTGTTGCAATCTAAAATATTTTATGGCTTTAAATGACCTGAAAAGGTTGATAAACCGCAAAAAAAAAACCCAAATCAATCAATAGAATTGGCTTAAAAGTGATTTCCTTGATGGGAAAAAAAAGTAATATAGGTTAGATCACTACAGGATGGTGAATTTTCTTCAGTAAAACTTTTCGATTGATAGGCCGGTTGACGTTAATGTTACTGTTTAAAAAAAATCTAGTCAACTACAAGTACTCACAAAATATAACGTTTAGAAATCATATCGGATTAAAAGATCGATTAAGTGCTTAATTTTTTTTTTACGTTTTGAGTATCTATCTATCTATCTATCTATCTATCTATCTCTCTCTCTCTCTCTCTCTCTCTATATATATATATATATATATATATATATATATATATATATATATATATATATATATATATATATATATATACGTATATAAATATAAATATATATATATACATATATATATATGCATATATATATTAATTATATATCATATATTGAAAGCGCTCAATATCAGTGAGAGAGCTAACAAACTCATATATATATATATATATATATATATATATATATATAAATATATATATATATATAAAAGGTTAATAGTCTGGGTTGAATTGGACCAGGAAAAGTAGTATTAAAAGGATCTATACACGTGTGAAAAAAATAAAAAATAAAATGTAGGGCTTTTAACTTTAAAGATCTCTAGATTAGTTGATTTCGCTACCTTGGTATCCTCAGTTGATTTTTATCATCTGACCTATCAATAATACAGGGTTCATTTTTTTTTTTTTTTTAATAAAGCGTTGGGAGGTCAATTGATAAAAATCGCCTGAGTATATCGTAAGGTTGAAACTAAGCTAAAGGAATCAACTGATCTTCTAATTTTTAAAGTTAATTTTTAAAGTACATGTATTATATACGGTGGAGTAATGGATAGCTGCTTGGATTGAGAAATCGGAGAGCCGAGTTCGAATCTTAGTCGA